AAGTACATCTATTCTAAAATGAGGTTTCAATATTGGCACACCTGGCTCATTTTAACGTGTAAACGCTTGGAGGTTAATTATTAACAAATGCCGAATTAATATAAACTAGGTTTTCTTCATATATTTAGGCAACTTTCTAGCAGTTTATCTCAGGCGAAACATTCATCTATATTGCTAAATATACTCTGTGGGTTACTTTATGCTCTTCACTATATTTTTCATAAAAGTCGTCAAAGTGGTCTTATACCACTCATTACATGTCAATATTTTAATAGAGCGTATCTTGAGACCAACTTTTACATTAACCCACATCGTGAAACTTCAATTTCACATAACTCCCTTGGATCCATTTTAAAATATTGGGAGACTAGACGGCCTTGTCATTCTTTTACCTAAGAAGTATATATACATTGGATGTCTTATATAGCATTTGGTTTAAACCCAGGTTGACCTTTTTTTTAGGAACAAGGCGGCTTAAATTGATATCAAAGCATTCAGCAAGGGTACAAGAAGATAAAATGACCACTTCCAACCACCGACACTCGAACAAGACTTAGAGTCAATCACCCAGAAAAAAAGCAATATGGCTCGCTGATTCTATAACGGGTCTAAATGAGCCTAATGTGGTTAGAGTAAACCCCTCATCGCCCCAACCCAATGCAAGAGTCTGGCAAAAATAAGCGTACATGACAAACAAAACAACATGCAGTTCGAAGTAAAAACACAAACAAAGTAAAACAGAAATATCAATAGTCGCCCAAACCCTAGTCGCACAATTCCTCCATGGCGGTGGTTCGGGAGGGGGACGGATCAACATCTCTTCGCCTTCTTTCGCCTGTAGGCTCCTGTTCGGAGCCTCTTCCTCGCTCGCGACCTCCTCATCCAGAATGAGATCGTCCAGAATCAGATTGTCCTGATCACCCCCGAGAATCATGTTATCACATTTGTTGACCATCTCCTCTATCTCTGCCGTAATCATTCAATAATCTACTTTCACTCGAAGCAGTGCCTCTGCCTTGCTGCGAATTTGTAGCCCTGGTCTGCTAGCCCTCCACAAACCCGAGCCGGTGTCTTGCTGCGTTCGAAGCTCCTCAATAAACGTCGATCAAACCTGCGGTGCAGAAATTTCGCACCGAGAGAAACAAAACCCTACATATGAGAGAGACGGCCACTGTCCTTGGATCTTCGAAGGTCTTTTCCGTAAAGGTTTGAATATCGCGTAACCTGGGTTGACCTTAAATTGTTCATTTATTTAAAAAAAAAAAAACAACTTCATGCAACATGTGTTTGAATTACTCAAGTATATGTAAATATATACGAAGAGAATTCTGCTATTGGCAAATATTGTGGAAACACAATTTATACTACGTTGCTATGGTCTCAAACTATCACCCAATAAGTATGATATCACTTTTCAAACTACTACTTCACAGTGTTTAAGTAGCTTCTTTGAGCTTACACTCAATGCTTGAGATTTTATCATTATTATTTATGTGCATACTGCACAACTTGTTTATTAATATAATTTGTGATTCCATTAAATATGATTAAATTTCTAATGTGTACAACTCTATCAAAAGTTAATATATGTCGGGCTCTATGTCACAAGTATATACATGCTTCAGGCATTAAATCATCTCTAAGACAAAAATAATTTGTCTCTAAAATAATCATTTATATAGTGATTTCTTACGTTTTCAAATATAATACGAATGACTCACTTAGAAATCTATATAGAGTCTAGCGATTAGATAATGATACTATTGGAGTAACATAAAAGTTAATAGCTAATCAAATTTGTTTAAGAACATTTAAAGACTTGTCTCAAGTATTCACTTGAATGAATTTCTTAGAATTTACCTTGGCATATAATAACATATTTTCCACTTTGGTACTTCAAGACCTCACGACTTTAAAACACGTGCACGAGTAAGGGCTTCAGACCCCACTTATAAACACACATTATCTCATGTGTGAGCGATTTCGGATGTGGAAACTTCATGTTAAAAACATACTCATCACTTGTACGTCAAATCTATTCTCTTATAGTGACTTCTGACACTTTGTTATAATTTCATATATCTATTTATGAAATTTTGCTTGCTTTCTCCCCCTCTTGAGTAGATTAACTTGAGAAAATCATTCTACATAATTACAATAAAATGTGATTTACTAGAAATTATTTGTGTGTCCATAGTAATATTTAACTATATTTCGAATATAGTTGAAGTCTATATCATGTTTTCTCATCATGCATTTTCCTAAATTATATCACTTACTTGAGTGTTTTATAAAGCATTGAAACTGTATGAGTTATGTTAACTTATCAATTAATATTCAACAATCGAGTTTATCATATTTTAAACACATCTGCAATTCTATTATATCCAAAATGGTCACATTAATTATAAATGGAAAAATTAAAGCGTACCTATCCTTTCCAATGTATTTTTTTCAATGCCCAATTGATAACAAAACAATAGGTAGAACTTTTCAAAGTACCACAAATAAACATTAGAAAGGCAATGAAATGTGAATCAATTGAGTAAGATTTTCATCATACATAATCAAGTCAATGTAATGCAACTAAGGCACATTAAACAAGGACTTAAAAACTCTAAAGGAATGCTCTTTGAGAGCAGATATTAACGGATATTTCATATAAGATTAAAATCGTAATTATATCATATATGTTTTAAACCAATCCTGATGTATAAATTTCGACAAATTAGTAAGATTGCTAAAATCGTTTACATCTCATATGAATAAATATTATTCATACTAAACTTTAACACTCAACATAAAAGTCTAATTAGGAGTAGTAAAGTTTCATATTTCTATGATATATATTACTCACAATAACATTTCGCAATTGAAGTATGACTATTACATTATAAATTATTACGTTTGTTGTATATATATATAGAATATCATGTAATATATAGAATGACTTGTATTCTGAAGTTCTTAATACCGTATCACATGTATTTTCTCGATTTTAATAAGGTGAAACATATATCATGTAATGGCACATTAGCAAATAGTGCAACTGTATTCAAAATGTCATAAATGATAGTAGAGTGAATATATATGCAAATTGAAAATACTTTAAGTTGATTCTAAGTTTGTAAATATTTTGTATTTAGCATTATTTTGGAAAAAATCCCTTTAACATATTATTATAATTCTATAGTTTTAGGACATTTTTAGTTGGACTGTTTTCAGTCCCAGACCAGACTAGACTTAAACAGATCAGACCAGACCAGACTAGTTCGGATCAGACCAGATTAGATCACACTTCCGTAGTTATAAAATACACAGAGACCAGACATTTACCAGACCAAACTAGTTCAGACCAGACCAGATCAGACTAGACTTAAATAGACCAGACTAGTCCAACAAATTTCAGCTCAAGTAAAAACATCCTACCTTACCATACCCTAATTATACTCTTTTAGTCCGTGCGGACCCTACATATGTACATCCGTATCTAGTAATTGTGTCCCGACACTTTTGACCACTTTTTACTTTTTTAGTCTGTAAAATACCGAGTATTTCATACCGATAGTATATCTTTTCCGTAAAATATACATCATTTAGGAATGCACGATAAAAAAAAAAGTAAAATATACTCCGTATAATTCTAAGAAAATTACCATAAATAGGATTAAATATGTTTGTATATTTCAAAATAGGATTATCATGTTTTTATTTTTAAAATAGAACTAATCAGTGTCATATTTTGGCAGTACCAAACCATAAACATGGCAATTCAATATTTTCCAAACTTGACAGTAATTACTCCTATTTTGAGAATAAAAAACATAACACTCCTATTTTAAAATTTTCAAACTTCTTTACTTTTATTTTTTAATGGGGTTGAAGCATTAAATGTCTAATTGCAAGGAAAAGCAAGGTGGTACACCTTGTTACTTTATACTACGTATTATTATATATATTATTATATATTATGGATTATTATCATTATTTTTATTATTTTGAATTGAAAATATTCCAATTACTCCAATATTCATGTTACTCTTATTTTTTAATGAGTTTGAAACATTAAATGTCTAATTGGAGGGAAAAGCAATATGGTACACCTTATTACTTTATATTATTATAGATAGATAGATAGATATATTGTATACATGCTAGCTTGGAAAGAATGCACAACATGTTCCTCATATTATTGTCGATCGATGATGTACGTTACGTGCGTACGTTGCTTGCTACCCTGTGCTATCAATTAAATGTGATGAAACATGAAATATGAGCCTCAAGATTATGAAAACTCAAAATATGATTATCACATACAAATGGAATGGGAAGAGAGGGAAAAGATCTTTTGCTATGATTTTACTAGGGAAATTATCCTAAATAGAGGAGTAAAAATATTCTCGAATTCCAAAATATCACTACTAGTTTCTCTCTCTCGAAATATTATCAAGAAAATACGTATTGTCAATAATGGAAGTAAATACCGTCATGTTAATGCCTAATACTGCAACATTTTAACAATAATAATGATAATGAATCCACGATGACAGTAAATACTGCAATATTATTACTCCTATTTTGGGAAGAAAAACATAACAATTCTATTTTGAAACTTTCCCATTTTACTACTAGAGTAACAACATCCAAGCCTTTCTCTACCAAAAGAATTTAGGCACTACAAAAAATTAACGATATTGGCATGAACTTGGCATGGATCTTCGACACGGATTCATCAAAATTCAAAGGGTATTTGGCACAGATACTTCAAATCCGTGTCAATGTCGTTTTATCAGCAGTTATTTGATACAACGTCGTTCCAAATATATGTTACGATACGTGCCAAACTCGATTAGTTTGTGCTAAATTCGTGCCAATATCATTTTTATTGTAGTGAAGGTAGTTTAACATGAATCAACACATGCATAACACTAGCGCAAATTAGAAAAGAGCTAAGATGGACACATAAAAAAGATAAGATAAGATAAACATAAACATAAATACTCGTATAAGATAACTTTTATTAATATATATAAGTACTACGTAAATTTTAGTTGTTAACAAAAGATCAATTTAAGTTTGAAATTTGAAAACAAATTTATTCGAGTCTTGATAGTATATACGTAGTACTACGTATATTACAACCAAAAACTTAATTGCAACGTAGTTAACGGTGTATGCATGCATCATGCATATACGATAGTATGCATTTGTGATGGAGCTTCTTGTAAGATCGATCAATATAATTAATTAATTAATTAATGTAATTAATTAAGTGATCTTGGCAAATTCTAGGGTTTTCTTGCCTTGAAGCTTGTTGGTGACATAGTGTTTGCTGTATTCTCCGTGGTTGTATCTTCTGTATCTGGAGGGGTTGTTGTTGCTTTCATCCACAAGCTCTGGCAATGGTCCCAATTCTATTTCATAGCTTGGAGCATAAAATGTCACTATTGAGAGCCTGTCTTTTTCTTGGTGTGTCACTGCTCTATGCTCCACACTTTTGTATCTTCCATTTGTTAGTACCTGCATATTTGAGCCAATTTAATTTCATTGGAATTGGGTGATGGATTATATTCTAGTACGTACTCGTATATTTCTGGAAAATGTGAATAAAAAACAATTGGCTTCCTTAGATGGAGAGACATTATGGCCATTGTTTGTATTTCAGCGGGTTGAACCAAACCACTACAAAATGTAGCGTTTTCCTTTGACAAAAACGGCGGTTGGGAGGTAAAACCGCTGCTACCAATGGCGGACCCACTAAGGGTCCCATGGGGTCCCGGGACCCCGTGGTATTTGAAAAATTTACCTATATATATTATATATATTTTACAAAATTTACCTGTATATATTTATGTATATATAAAAGATGTGCGACTGAAAAACAAAATGGACGCAGCGGAGTAATGGTAGCATGCGTGTATTTAAAGTCCTGCTATTCGTGAGGTGCAAGGTTCGATTCCTCACGTGGATAACTTTTTTGGTGCTTCTTTAAAACTTGTTATTTTAAAACTCCAAATGATGGTTTTTTGGTCCATTTTTTAAACCCCTTCCAACGATCCTTTACCACAACAAATTTATTGCCATCCACGTATCTCCCCTCAGATCTCATCCACTTCTTATTAATTCATTTTTTTTAATTAATTATAAAATTTCTTTGAATAGTAAGATTAAATTAACAAATTTATGTATTTATGAATGTTTTTTTTGTTTTTTATGGAAATTTTACGATTAAGGATGAAAAGGTATTTCGGTAGTGTACCAAAATTTTAACAAATTCGAAGTACGGAGAATAGTTAAGATATTCATTCAAATGATTCGTCTTTATTAAATAAAGAATATCTAGTACTTGATGAAAGTGAAATTAATGTGGTGTATAATCTACATGAACAACATACTGATTTCATCCTAATGTTCAAGAGAGGGTACGCAGTAGTTACTATAAAAAATGATTGTTTCAACTTTGGGATCATGATTTCCCTATTAAAGTAATTGACGGCAACAAACATAGATTTGTTTCAAGTTGGTTTGATTTGCATAAATGGTTGGAATACAGTATTGTCAAAGGTGCTGCATTTTGTTTACCGTGTTATTTGTTTAGTAATGACCGAATGAGTGGAAAGTTAGTGGTAATCATTTTTTGGGAATATGATTTTCAGCATGGAATAAAAAAATAGGTTTTATGTACACGTTGGTGGACCTATATATTATATAATATTTCCAACAAATGAAACCTATGAGGTACTTAATTTTGTAGAATTGTAAAATGACTTTTATATGTAATTTTTTTTTTTTGCTTTATATCATCTTATTTCATCACGTTAGGGACCCCGTGATTCTGAGTTTCTGGGTCCGCCACTGGCTGCTACCCAAACATTAGCAGTTGGTCACATTAGCAACGTACTATTACTGGGACATTAGGAGGAGATGCAGTTATTAAGAAAAGTTAATTTATATGATTGATATTAAATTGATAAAGTAAATATTAAGTAAAAATAATTTAGAAAAAATAAAATTTTACAAATTTGATATATGACAATTTTAATGGGACATAGAGAAAAGGGACAATAGATTAGGTGAAGGTATTATGACATCATCTTCACCAACCAATTAAAGTATTCCCTAAATAGAAAATGACGTAGTATAATTTTACTAAGCATGTTTTTAATTGGATTGAAATTTTCTACACTTATCTAATCTGATATGATCTGTTTAAGTATGTTCTGATCTAATCTGGTCCGAAATGGGTTGAATTGGACTTATCTGGTCTGGTAGATCTTTGATCTAGATATATTTATAATTGTCAAAGTTTGATTTGATCTCATATGATATGTTTAAATTATGTTTTTGATCTATTTGAATCAGGTCTTTTCTAGTCTGAAAGTGAAATAAATTAAGTAAAAACCGCTCCGGTGAGATTTTGAGATATTTAATTAATTATTTCTTAAAATTTTTCCGAGCAGCGAATAAAAATGCTTAGATATTGAACAAAATCAATAGGATAAGGGTCCCATTTTTTATTGCGCATATGTTCCGTTTTTTTCATTACATTATTAGCTAGGGTCCCAATCAAATGGTTACTCTCTATCTAAAGAATGGCCCTCTCTTCCATAGAAAACAACCAATACTAATATTGAATTGACATATACTACGTATATAATGTGTCACTGCACGAAAATTAAATTGCAGATGACCTCTCTTTACGTCTTTTTCGCTACCACAATTCCATTGGCCGGTTTCGACGGGAGGTCCCGATCTACCTTTAATTTCCCAAACCGCACAATAAAGGGGAAAACAATTAACGACTGGATTTATGGAGAAACTCCCTCATGGAATCATTTCGAGTATAATGGGGCACCGGGTATACCTTACTTGGTAGTAAGCTATATCCCGGTGCCCCACTATAGGAAATGATTGACTTATCTCATATTTAAAATTATCCCTCATGCCATTAAAGACTTAGGGAAACTCAATTATTTTTTGGACCTTGAGGCCAGGTTAGCTACAGTGATAACAGCATATTTCTCAGTCAGTCCAAGTATGCCCATGATATCCTTCAGCGAGCTCAATTACTTGATGCCAAACCTGTTTCCACACCATTAGTCGTGGGTGATTGTCTTTCTAGTGATGGAGATTCTTTTTCTGATCCTACTCTTTATCGAACCTTGGTTGGTGCTCTTTAGTACTTGACAATCACTCGTCCCGACTTGGCCTTTGCAGTTAACTCCGTTAGCCAATTTTTACAGCACCCTACCACTACTCACTTTCAAGCCGTCAAAAGAATCCTTCGCTATGTTAAAGGCACTATTAAATTTGGTCTAAGCTTTATACGCCCTTCCTCAAATACTATTCTCGGTTATTCTGATGCTGATTGGGCTCGGTGCCCCGATACACGACGCTCTACCTATGGTTACTCTATTTTTCTTGGGGACAACTTGGTTTCTTGGAGTGCAAAGAAGCATCCCACAGTCTCGCGCTCCAATTGTGAATATGAATATCGTGCTCTAGCCAACACCGCTGCTGAAATTCAATGGATTACTCATCTTCTCCGTGAACTGAAATTTTCCACCATCTGTCCCGTTCTCTTGTGTGATAACAAAAGTGCACTCTTTCTCAGTAACAACCCTGTGGCTCACAAGCGTGCTAAACACATCGATATTGATTATCACTTCATCCACGAACTCATTGCTGTTGGCCGCCTCAATACGCAGTTTATACCTTCTCACCTTCAGGTGGCCGACATCTTCACCAAGAGTTTACCTCGACCCCTATTTGAGTTCTTTCGTTCCAAGCTTCGCGTCGGCATAAATCCAACGCTTTGCTTGAGGGGGGTATTAACGCAATTAACAGAGATCTTCCAGATTCTTCTACTCTCAATCAAAATTAATTAGTTAGATATTTTGTAATTATTGTTGTAAACTATTTTTGGTATTTTCTGCAAATAGCTTGTACCGTATGTAGTATATATACTAATGAAAGTAGTCTCACCCATTCAAGGTGAATTTTATAAACATTCACAGAAATCATCTTCACTTTTTTGTAATTTCCCCAGTAGACACATGAAACTTACTTATATCCTAATCCACAAGGGTAATTGTACATACATTGTCATACTCCATTTTCTTATCCAAATATGTTACTCCATTCTTCTCAAAGATAAATTTCCACTTTGGCATGGACATCAGCACATACATTTATGATTTATGTGAGGTTAATCTTTGTTTTCATATTCCATGTATCTTTAACTTTACGTGAAGTCAATAAAAAAGTATGGAAAATGTAAGAGTAATAGCTAGTGATAGACTGATAGTACCTTATATGTTGGTTTGCCATATGCATTATGTATTTAACAAAATTCGACTGGTGGTGCAATACATAATATGTGCATGAGTTAAATTAATAGGCGATAGTTACCTCTATAGTGTCACCAAGGTTAATAACAAGCGCATTTGGAAGAGGTTGAACAGGGACCCAAGCATTGTCTTTAAGAATTTGAAGTCCAATTGAGTTGCTAAACTGTCCTTGTTGCAAAACTGTTAGGGCACTTCCATCAGAGTGGGGGCTAAGTCCCATAACAAGGTCTGGCCTTGGGCATGCTGGGTAGTAGTTCATCCTCACTGCTTGTACAGCCACCCCAAACATCTCTTCAAACACCCTCTCACTCAGCCCCAAACTTATGGCTATGCATTTCAACAATTCTTTGCATAACTTTCTAACTTCTCTTGAGTATGCCTCCAATGTCTCACTGCACCACGTCAATGATTCCATAAAAAGAAAAAGCTATAAGGTGAAAAAGAGTTCCAAAAAAGAGTTATTTGTTGTTTGACCCAACGCAAAGGTTTAGAAATTCAAAACTATGCAGTCGAATTTTATTTCGAAGAGAGACAAATATTGTGAATTTATGAGTCTTAGGGGAAACCTCTTGTCAAATACTTCGTATTTGATAGGGAAAGACTTGCCCCTTATACATCTGTATGGTTCCACTTCCTAGACTCTTACCTTGCGGGGATGCGTTCGTGCACTAGGTTGTCCTTTTTAGACAAATATTGTGAACTAATCAATTGTTTTAAAAAAAGAGTAATAATTTGGTTATTGATTTATTTATGAACTAAGGATATATGTTTGAAGTATTTTGCATCACAAAACACTCTTTACTCTTGTAGAGAGTATTAAGGCTACAAAAGAATAACCCAACCGTGCATAACCCACCCGATGCAACCTTACCCGGCCATTTTTAATTGGGTATTTGATTAAAAATATTCATGGGATAAATATGTACGAACCTGCTCCTAATGGGTGTGGTTGTAGAATTAAAAATCTCAAACTCGATAGTAGCCGACCCAGCCACAAGTTCATTTTGCTATTATTATATATGCTACATTGTATTGTTGGATAACATCTATTTAAGACTGATGTGCTCCATCTAAGACTTTATGATATTGAAATTATAAACATTTTCCATTTTGATTAGGTGATTATTATATATTAACGTTTGCTTCTAAATGAACTTCCTTTACATAAGAATGTTTTGATACTATTACCCAAGGCTTATACTTATAAAAGGTACTTGTATTTTTTCTATATATGTGTGTGTTTTGGAAACAAGTTAACTGTGTTTAAATTTGGTTGCATTAATTGCCCATATTAAAGATCCAACTCGGAGTAATTTTTTCCAATATCCGACCCTGCCCGACTCATTCATGTATGGCTTACCAACTTATATTGCATACTGCAAGTTGATTAATAGCTAACCCGAGTAAATTGAGTAAGCCCAAAAAAAATGAAAAACTCAATCCAACTCATCCGAGTATGCCTTTAATTTGTGCCTCTATATTTGGGATGTGAGCGTGACACACTTATTAAAGAAAATGAAATTATTTTGAATATGACTACTAGCTTGACTTTTTATACATATAGCACTCCCTCTGACCCATAAAGAAGTTCATGTTGGTGTTTACACTTAGATTATTTTTAGTAAATAAAATTCACATATTCAGAAGCTTCATTAAAACCGCTACAAAGTCCGATCAAGAAAATTTAAATTTGATTTATAAAGTAAAGATTAAGAGTGATTTAAGTTGACCATTAGAATAGTGAATAAAACTTGATTCCGGGACGGAGGTAGTAATATAGTCTATAGATATTACAAATATCACTTATGAAAACATAATAGGATGGACAAAAAATGAAATATGGAGTATGAAATATGAAACAAAGACTCAAAGACTAGATTTTAGTGGCTTATTACAACTACAATTAGATGCTAAATTGCAGGATTCAGTCAACAAGTTGGACTTTTACTCAAAAAGATTATCAGCAAATACAGTATAATATGTTCACTTTATAGCACTTTTTAAGGTGTGTAAGGAATCACGCCTACAGTTGCAAAAAGAGGATGGCATTTCTATGTTGTGGCGGCCAAAACTCGGCTTTCATTCTCAATTAACTTACCCGCAAGTCCGCAAGAAAGCCGATTGATCATTTTTCATGTTGTGTGAAATACAATACTCCGTACTAATAAAGAATATATGTCCAAAGATATTATTATAAATTATTATGTGTAAGTTTTACCATCACTATAATGTAGCATTTGAATATAATTATAGTCATTGATATTATTATGGTCACATTTTAACCATTTTTGTCCACTATTATTTTAATTATACATTTGAAATTGTTTCTTTTTAATTTTCTATTTTGCGGTTGCTAATTACTTACGAAAATATATTTTCATCAATATATACATAACAAATTCTCTGGATCACATACGTACTATTTTGTTACGATCTAGTGGTGCAATCGCTGGTAGGATTGATCGAGATCGAGTACATTATGCTAAACTTTTGACTTTTGAATTCATACAAAATTTATTGGCATGCCTAAATTCCATTCGGCTATTACCCAAATTTTTAGTATACAAAATTTAGAGTGTATACAAATTTTACCTAAATTCTGCATCAGAGTTTTCAAATGACACCGTTTACTTAAATTAAACACTTAAAAATTTAAAACTGGAAGCAGGTAGAGGAGCGCTTCAAATACTATCAATTTTTGCCTTTTCCAGAAACACTTTTTCCAGGTACTACAAACTTTTACTCCCAAATCATTTAAAAATCATTTTTTTAAGTAGATATAATTGCAAACACTCCTTTAAACGTGCGATGAAGCTAAGCTTGTGTTATGCTCCCATACTGAAATTTTGGTCATCATCATTTTCATTTACCCCAGTGCCGCAAAGGCTCCCACCTATGGTGGGGTAAGGGGGGGTCGGATCTCCGCAGTCTTACCTCTGTACTAAATCACATAAAGACTGTTTCCGGATGATCGACCCATAGTGAAAATTGCGTCCGAAATTGCATGCGCTAACTGCTACTACATAACAAAGAAGCGCGGACAGTTTAATGAGCCATTTTGCTTTATTCTATCATATTCTCAAGCCAAAAAATAATGAATCTTTGGCTCCATTGCAAATGATTGAAATAATTTTGGTCATCCACAAAATTCAGAAAATTGAATTATGATAATACTCCGTATAAGTTTTGGTAAGCTGATAAAATTATGATAATGTAGTTCAGTATTGGTCATTTATGAGTTATGACTACTAGAATTAATTACATGCATATTAGGATGTTTTTACTTGGACTGTAATTTTCTGGTCTAGTCTGGTTTGATTTGGTCTGGTAATGTATGGTCTCTTTGTATTTTTATAACTATCCATGTTTGGTCTGGTTTGATTTGGTCTGATCTAGTATGGGACATATTACAATCCAAGTAAAAACATCCTTTCTTTTATAGTGTTAAGTACTTGTAACCAACTTGAATAGTGTCGATTAAAATGTGGTGTAACAATTATCATTTTTTATAGGGAAAACTGTCAAATAGGTCCTTGAACTTTCATAAAAAAGTCAATTAAGTCCTTCTATAGGAGGTTCTGTCCGGCCGTCGCGATTTGGGGCAGTTCCCGGTGGAATTTTTTGATGAAATGTTTTGAGCATCTTATTCACCAAGTCTAGTTTACTCATACCAAATTTCAGCTAAAAATTCAATCGGGAACACATTCAAATTAATTCTTGAATATAACTGCGCATTTTTGCGTTCTCGAATTAATTTGAATGCGCTCCCGATTAAATTTTTAGCTGAAATTTGGTAAAAGTAAACTAGACTTGATGAATAAGATGCTCAAAAAATTTCATCAAAAAATTCCACTGGGAACCGTCCCAAATCGCGACGACCGGACAAAGTCTCCCATAGAAGGACTTAATTGACTTTTTTATGAAAGTTGGAGGACTTTGGATAATAAAAGTATTATGTAACCAACTTCTTTTATAAAAGTATACTCCGTATACTTTTATTACCATACAATTACAAACAATGTCAGTCAGACCAAAACTGAAATGGGCACTTAAATGGGAATGGATGATGTACCTGAAAGCAACTGGATTTGTGGGCCAGAGATTAGGGTTTCTGATGGAATGAGGCATGATTCCAAGTGCAAACATGTTACACCAATCCAGTTTTTGGTCTTCTGAGAACACAAATGCCTGGCCATATCCCTGCACTGTTCCAGGTGCCATTGGATATTTCTTTTTTTCCTCCAAAGGTAACATGAAAAACTCCATAGCCACCTTCTCCAGGCTCTCCAGTAAACTCAATTCAATCCCATGATGTATAACCTCCAACAAATCAAATACAAAAAAATCATAATAAAGAAAATGTACTACTTTATATAGTCATAAAAAAGAGCTCTAAGATTATTCAACTCGCTTCATGATATTTTATTATTTTTAATCGATCTAGTATCATTCCAACACCCGGCCTGAATCACAAGCACGTGTTTGGATATATTTTTCGCATGATCATCAAATGCCAACATTCAGCGGCGGAGTTAGAAATCTTATCGGAGGCGACATCGTGCGAGTAATTATAAAGTTCATGTACCACGTGCGCCAAAGCTTAATCCGTCATAGATTCTTATGATTTGTACATTTTTGTACTTCTATATAAATCAAATACACTACTCTGACTCCACTTCTTTACTGATACAAGTGATAAGAATCTAAGAAATTTGAGGAAGTGGTTCGGTTCAACTCGTCACCGATTCACTGTACATTCTGGGGTCTCGGGTTCGAAACTCCATGTAGAGTTTCAGCCTTGTTTAACCGAGACTTCCCCAGCCCCTACCCCGAACCCCCAAGTTAAAAAAACGAATTTAAGAAACTTTATGAAGGGCATACATATTTTCTTCATATTTATCAAGAAAGTTCACTAACCCATATGTCTAAAAGTTAAAAAAACAAAAAGTAGTACCTGGAAAAATCCCCATTCTTGACAAGCAACAGTGAGCTTCATCATTTCAGATTGGAACTCTGGAGAACTCTTTTCTTCATTGATCAGTTTTGATAGATCGATGGCTGGGATTTTGAGGTCACATGAAGAAGATGAATGATCATCAGTTATGGACAGTTCAGGCCTTTCTGTGGCGTCCCTAATAAATCTTTCAGGAATATAACTTGGATTAGTCATCCTCAGTTCCTGGACATCATCAATGTGGCCAACCTTGATGGGAAAATCTAATGCTGGAGACATTTTTTTAATTATGTGAAACAATTCTATTTCTGAGTTATTTTGTCTCTGATGAGAAATCTCACATTTGTAGACGAAGAAGTGTATATATAGCAATAATACATATACGTAGGGTACCACAGCTATACCTGGCCAAGTGATAAATGTGCATTTATACAATTATTACACGGTTTCTATCTAGTTTTCCTATTTTCCATTTGTGTATTAAGATTTCCATTTCTCTGTTTTTAGTATCCTAATTTGGAAATATATTTGCGAAGCATCATCTAATTCGATGCATCACTGCGACACCCCAATAAGGAAGTCACATGATTGAAACTCATCCAATTCAAGAATGTTCACATTTAGGATGTTTTCTTTTAGACTGTTTTCAGTCCTAGACTAGACCAGACCGGACCAGATCAGATCAGACCAGACCAGACCAGACTTCCGTAGTTATAAAATACACAGAGACCAGACGTTTACCAGACCAGACCAGATCAGTTCAAACCTAATCAGACCAGATCAGACCAGACTAGACCAGACCAACAAATTTCAGTCCAAATGAAAACATCCTTAATAAAAAACAGATATTGGGGATCGTATGAGTACATCAAAACAAAGTTGGAAATACTACTCCGTAGTATATTTATTTTCATCTTCTAATTTTGAAAAGCTACTAGGACAAATTATACTATAATCTCTATAGATTTTTATCCATATTTGGAAATTGGAATAAGAGTACAAAATAAGAGGATTACAAAAATGTGTGTGGCTGATAGATATCATATGGTTAAAAACTATTGTACAATCTATAAATCAAAGTCTAAAAAGGCATCCAAACCTAATAGGATCATTCTAAAAATCAAAGTCAACCCTGTTTTTATATTTCTTTTTTATTAGGAACTTTTTAATTCAGGACATATGTTACGGTGCCACATATCAATCAAACGTTTGGACGACAAAAGCTATCAATTTAGGGGTTTAATGATTTATTTTTTAGCAAATTAAGACCATAAACCCTTGAGATCTATTTAGAGTGTTTAGTCCGGCTCAAGTTTGAGCTCTAGCTAGAGACTAGGGATGGGCACGGGTTAGGTAAGGTCAGAAATCTTACAAAAATAGGAATGCGGATTCTATTGACCGGGTAGGTTTGGGCTAAGTACATGAATTCTCATAGTAGGAACCGGACCTTACCCGTCTCGTTTGAAACAAGTCGGTTCGGTCCGGGCTTTCAGGTATTAGTCACTAGAATTGTTATATGAATTATTTAAAAATCAAATTGGAAAATTGAATCATCAATTGTAAGATGTTATAAATAAATACTTCCTCTGTCCCATTTTAGTTAGCCAAACTTGACTTTTCAAGTCAATGTCATCTAAGTGTGATCTAACTTGGACCAATTATATGTTTATATAGAAAAAATATTGATAATATGAAAATGATATGAAATTGTTCTTTGTTAAAAATACTATCATAAAAGTATAAAATTTACATAAATATATTAGTTAAAATAATTGGTCAAATTTTATCATCTTTGACCGGAAAAGTCAAAGATGGCTAAGTAAATTGGGACGGAGGTAGTAAAAAATTTAAATAATATTAGATTAAAGGAAACTCACAATTTAACATTAATTAATCAAATTTAACTCTATAATTAGTGCACAAGACAATTGATAACAAAATAATATTCTCAAACAAATAAATATGACATTTTAATATATAGAATTTCATTATAAATATATGAATGGTAATAAGCTATGAGCATTGGATGAGATATTACAGATTTTTGTTTTTAAGAAAATAAATACTCCTTCTGTCCCACAATTAAAGTCATTGTTTGACTTTTGTGTCAAAACTAATTAAGCTTGACCGCAAATTAGTCAAAACTAACAATATTTTATTTCAAAAAATATATTTAATGTGCTTCAATGTAATAAGTAATATTAAAATGTCAATTTATTATAAATTATATAGGTATAGATTTATATATAATTATGGTCATAAAAAGAAAATAAATACTCGTACAAACAGGGACGGATCTAGGATTTCGACTTAAGGGGGGCAAAATTTTTTCGCTAATGCAACGGGATTTTCCCCCCCGCTAGTGTAGCGGGACGAAGTTTTTCACTATTGTAGGGCTCTGTGGCTAATTTTTATTTAAAAAAAATCATTAGTACATACACAATAACATTTAAATCCATTACATTCTAAGTTTAGACATTGGAAAAATAACGGTTACTTTGTAACCATAAATGCTGTAGAAAAAAGTATTGATACATCAAAGCATAAGAAATTGCAAACCAAATGAAATTAATTTGAAAATAAAAAAGGATATATAAAATTTTGTCGGATTATTTGAAGGTAAAAAAAATAAAAGTACACATCAATATAATCAATGCCTTTTAAATAACTTATGTCTTGTTTAACCACATGAATCTTATCAGAATAAAAAATTGTTTTTGAATCGTAGTTTTTGTCGAACAATGAGGGTGTTCATGATCACAAGGAGTTTTCTTAATATTACAATAGTATGTATGAGATTATTATTTTTAGAATAATATTACATGTAGTATTGTTAATTCATATATTTGGTGCATATTATGTTTGTATTAATGTTAAAATACGTTAAAGTTTATTATTTATGCAATAAATTATTTTTAGAAAGTAAGAAATAAACGAATTGTATAATTTAATGTCAACAAACATTAATATTTTGGATTCACTTCATATGATCTAAGACTAGTTAATTAGTATGTCTGGTATTTAATATCGTTTGTTTTTTTTTTTTGCAAAATTTAGTACTAATTATCTAATAAAGATAATTAAATATTACAAAGCTAGGAGTTTTATGTAATAGTTATCCTAAGTCTTAAACTATCTAAATTATTTTAGATTTTACTTCTTTTAAATCTCCAATTAAGTACTATGTATTACACTATGTAGGCTATATATTAACTTTGAAAACTAAAAGTTAAGGGGGCGAAAACATATTTATCTAATTAAAGTATGAAAATTTTATAAAAATACTACATATATAGTAGAAATTTTTGAAAGTCCAAGAGGGACAGTCGCCCCCCATGCCCCCGAGATCCGTCTCTGCGTACAAAGTATGTATTACTCCATATAATTCTTGATAGATCCATGACTCTATGAACCATTGTTAATCGTACGAATGCAATTTTGGAAGGAAAGGCGCAAGTTTAAAATCCACATGTGTGCTTAATTTGTACGGTTAAGAATTAAACACACACCAACACGAAAGATTATAAGAATTAACACATGAAATTTGGTAACCAAGTTCTTCATAAAGAACTACGTCTGGAGACGCTACCAAATCAGGATATTGCTATTAATTTCGGATTAATGATTACAAGGAGAGTAAAACCTAACCCTAGACTTAAAAGAACGTGCAGCCCATATCAATAAAGACCCAATTCCCGGTTATACAGTCTCTAACATCTTACATGTACTCCATATTTTGTAAGTTCTCCGGTTCCCGCACCGGAAAGATAGAATCAATTCCCTCTCCCCTTATACTATCTATATTCTATAATGTTCACTTTGTCCTAGAAGAAGCAAATATACAAATCAAAATACATGTTAATTTCTATGTTGTAAAAACCGGACCGGTGAGCGACCTGGTCGAGTGACTGGGTCATGGGCAACCCGGACCCGGTGGGTCAACCCAGTCAACGCCGGGAAAACCCGGTCAACATTTCTAAAATTTTATACTAGTAGTACTTAACATATAATAATATTAAATTAAAATAAAACCCAATTAGTCTTCATAATAAAGAAATAATGTTAATACTTTGTAAATATGAACAACTAAACAAAACTACGCTTTTATAAAATCTCAAAAGTATTTATGAGTATGTTACACTTGTAATTATTTAAATAAAAGGGATTTTTTTTTTATCATCGAACGGGTCTCTATTCATATCAAAAGATTCAGGATCATTACATCAAGCAAAAGGAAAATAAAACTGACACCAACTGAAACTTCAACAACTACGACTGTAACCCTATGGTGAGACTTTGAGACGGTCACCCCTGAGAGAGCAACACGAATCGCTAACCATGTAGTGGGCTTGACACAGCCAAACCTATTCCCATAGATCCAACCATACCCAATGACATAAAGAGAGGCAAAAAACTCAAACAAACTGTCAACACCAATAACAAAAGTGGACACAAGAAAACAAATAACAAACAGATAAAAACTACACGAAAAGCGTTCACGAACTCTAGCACCTCGTACATCCCATGGTGGTGGTTCAGGAGGAGGTCTTACCACCGGTACCATGCTAATTGATACTCCGTGACCTTTGTCTGCCAAAGGCCATGCATCAATCCTTCGTCCCTGCATAACCAAACTCATCCCTGCTTCATGCAACCAGAGTAAACGGATAGGCGGCGCCGATCTTCTCCAACGACGACAACAATACATCATCCTCGAACCTTGACCACAACGCCGATCTCCTCGAGCCATGACAACAAATCCTCCCTTCGAGTATGAAGCACAAACAACAGCACCCGTCCTTTGATTAAAATCGAAGACGGAAATAGCGGCCGTCCTTCAATTAAAATCGAAGACGGAAAAAGCGGCCGTCCTTCGATTAAAATCGAAGACGGAAAAAAACTCCAAGCGGCCGAAGCCCTAGAGAGAAGCGAGAGACGTCACTATGTTTAATAGGGATGTAAAATGATAGCCATAACATGCAATGTTGTAGCTAGTAGGTACGAAGCAATAAATAGCCTTTTGCAATAAATTCCATCTTGGTACAATTGCTATAAGGAAGCCATATGTACGTAATACCAGAACAATGTGAAGCGGGTGCCTTGGAGCTGATGACAAAATGTCAAGTGGTTGACCTGGGATCGATTCCCTTTTGGGGAATTTTAATTGGAACATTGAATTTCCGTCTTTCTTTGGTCTGGTTGGGTTTTCCCGGGTCCGGGTCCAACGCGGGTGGTACCGGGTTATTGGGGTTTTCCGGTTTCTATGGCTTTTACGGGTTGTTCAATGACCGGCCCACATTTCTGGGCGGGTGGGCGGTTTCCGGGTCGGACCGGGCAGGCCGGGTCGGGTTTTAAAACATAGGTTAATTTTCGTAGGTAACTTGCATTGGCCATGTATGAGTCAATATATTTTATGCAACAGGTTGGGAGGCTCGTAAACCGCCGGAATAAATTGGGCCTTGTCTGGTGGGCTGAACGTCTGAACTTGTATATCCAGTTGTATATCCAATTCGATCCTTGGTTCCTGGATCCATCTACCCACCCCTACTAGAAATTTCTAATCAAACTAAATCTAAACAAAAATTACTCAACCGGACTATTTCAACTTTTCTACCCATTAGTGTTGTAAGAACCGGCCCGACCTGAAAGAAATGGGCTACTTGACATGTCCATATCTACCCCTAATAGCGGGTGAGACATTTCGTTGGGCTTTCGGGTCCGTAATACTACGTGCTTGTGAATTTTTCAAAATTAACGGAACAACTTAAACCAGTTTAAAAATAATAGCATAATTTATACTCCCTTGCTCCCTTTTTATTTAGTCAAATTTGACTTTTCATTACAATGATGTTGAACTTTGATGAATTTATGAATTACATATTGCACAATTTATATCAAAAGATATGTTATTACTATGATCATATGTTTTTTTAAATGTAAATTTATGGTCTTAATTAAGTATATTATTTAAAACACGCAAAGCATTTATGAGGGTGTAATTACATTAGATTGAACATGAGGTAATATTATTTATTAACAAATGAAACTTTAATTAGAATGTTAATTGCATCCTAACACAAAGCGTGGGGTATTTTTAAATTATGTGCTTCCCACAATAAGTTTTTACCTGAAAAGAAAAAACATAATGCCATGATAGGAAAATAACTTTTTATATATAAAAAATGGCAATGGGGCTGTTTGGTTGATGGCCTATCAGCTGTTTTTTGGTTGCTTTGACTAATAATTGGCTTTTTGGCCAGATGAAACAGCTAATAGGGTGTTTGATAACATAACTGTTTTATTTGGCTTTTTTTTTCTAAACAGCCAAAATTAAAAAAGCCACTAAACCTATCGTTTAGGCATCGGCCGTTCTTTTTCTCCTCCGATTTTCCTGAATTACCCACGCCTCCTCTTCCATAACTATACAACTTCGTTCTCTAATTCAATCAACCCTACCTCCCTTATTTTCGTCCCCAGCTAATCATCCTCTCCGTACTTCTGCAGTTGCTCACTTGCTCTCCAGGTTTGGCAATCAACTCTCTTTTTTAATTTTTTCTCTTTTGACTGAATATTGATGTAGTTCATTTGACTCACTCTGCTACTTTATTCCTGTGATTGTTTTTTACTTTGCTGCTATTTCATTCCATCTAATTGTATTTGGTTTCATGGTTGTATTAACTGAAACTTTTCCCACGACTCTGATCTTTTTGACATTCTTGCCTCTGTTTTTTAGTGTCTTTAATTTGTTTAATCGGTTATTAAGTTTATTTGGTATATATAATTCAGCAATTCATGAGTAGCTTTTGACTTAATGATCTGTCTGGAAACCTTATTTCATTAGATAATTTGGTTAACTTTGAAACAGAGAGAGTAATATACAAAAAAGCTTCTTCAAGTAAAATGGTTTAACTAGTGGTACTAAGGGACTGTTTGCAACAGCTTCTGCTTAAAAAAGCACTTTTGGAGTGATTTGGAAAAGTGATTAGTTGTAAAAGTTGATAGTGTTTGAGAAAAAAGTGATTTTGAAAAGTAAAAGTTGATAGTGTTTGGTAAAATAAATGCTTTTGGTGTATAAAAAGGGGAAAAACACTTTTGACACGAAAGCCGAGAAAAGTAAAAAATCGGTAATGTTTGGTAAATAAGTGCTTTTTAAAGCCAAAAACTGAGAAGTGCTTTTTTTAAAGCTGTTGCAAACCAGCCCTAATAAGTGTATGATACGTACATGTCTAAAAGTGTGTTACGTACATACTACTATATAAAAGTGCACAATAAAAAAATAATTCATGTCCTTAAATGTCATTTGACAAGTTATCAGCTAATTGTAAACAACCATATTAACCAAACACCATTTTATAAACTGCTAATATTATCGGCTAATCAAAATAGCCAACGGAAACTGCTATCATAAATCAGCCAACACAACCAGCAACCGCCAACAGCTAACCGTCGATCGCCAAACACCCCCTAAGGAAATAATTGTATAGATGAGATTAGTTTTTTCATTTCTAAACAAAACCAACTATAAATTTCACCTTCTTTGTAAGTTTAATCAGTAATAAGTCAAAATCCGAAGGAACTCCAAAATAACGAAAGCATACATCTAATAATCCAATGCCAAAGATAGTTCAGGAAAACTTTAGTAAATAAATACAAAATATAGAGTTATTGTCTAATGTCGTATTACATGTTGATCCACGCTAAAGAGCTAATTAACGGGGCATTTTAGTACAAACAGCTAATTCACACATTTTCTGAAAATAGCCGGAAAAATCTAATCCGTGATAAATTTACACAACGTGATTAGTTAAAGATGTGAAATTTGATGGTCTTCTCTCATTTGATTTGATCTAATGTGTGAGAGTCTAATATGATCTTATCTAATCTAAACTTGTCTTGTTTAGTAAATGTCTGGTCTTTGTGTATTTTATATATATGGAAATTTGGTCTGGTCAGTTTAAGTTTAGTTTGGTCTAATCTAATCTACTCTACTCTAATCTGTCTGGTCTGATCTAGCATGGGACTAAAAACAGTCTAAAAGAAAATAGCGTCCTTATAACCCTTAAATATTCACACTCTTACTAATAACCGTTTTTTGTATGTGTTCCCATAATTTTGGAGTATTTGAACTACCCTTCAAAACCTCTTAGACAAGTAAATATGGATCAGATCACAATCGGCTTTAATTGGTTTTCACTCCAAAGAACGAACCCCACAAGATTTGCATGGCGTACTACCATGTCGACTGCACCTTTGACCACACAAACCCGCTACCTCTATTACCCATTTTTTCGGCCTCCTAATAAGTCAATATTCTAAGACACTTTGATGGAAAGTCATGTTTACATGATTTTTTGCATTACTTTGCTAAGGTTTGATTCATCATTTTTTTCTTAGGTCTTTGTACTTTTTATTGGAATTTTATAAGGTTTTTGAGAAAACATAACTCAAGATGGACTTTGGAGGTGATTGAAGAAGGGGAGTTAGAGCACCTAAGAAGTTATTTGAACCCCTACTCAACCCATAATCTCGCATCTGGATGACATTCTATGCAAAATTTGAGTTTATCTTGTCTCAGAGAACTTTAAATTACATTATTCGAGTTTCCGAATTTCATATTAAAGATAACTCAAAATGCTGAAACTGTTGTGAACACTGAACACATCATAGCGATCATATGAAATGGTGACGTTCAAAGTAGTCAATGAACTCAGATGTTCACTAGTGAGGTTCAAGATGACGCCTCTCAGAATTTCAGTCATATACTCATATATTTTGATTTGATGATCACAAAGTAATTCAAATTGCGGTGAATAGAAAATTTCATCATCTTTAAGTTTGTGAAGGACGAATTTTCAAAGTCATATCCATGTGCACATGATAGTCAAACGACTCAAACTTAATGTTGTGTACACCCTGTGTGGAAGAAGGTAGAGTCATTATAGTCACTGTCAACATGCACACCATTGTGCACACACCGTGTGCACTACCGCGTGGAAGAAGGGAAAGTCATCAACATGTACGCAATGAGCAACAGGTAATGTACACCATCGTGTGGATGAAGGGAATTTTTTTTGAACGAAAAGTAGCCTTTATTCATATAATAAGTTTCAGTATCATTACATCAATCAAAGGAAAAACAAATCTGATACCAACTAGACTCCAACAACTAGGACTGTAAACCCTATGATGAGCCTTAGAAAGGTCACCCCTGAAAGAGCAACAACTACGACTGTAACCATGTAACGGGCTTGACACAGTCATCCATATTCACATAGATCCAAACATGCTCAATGACATCAAACAAGGCTAAATTCCCAAACAAACTGACAAACCTAACAACATAGATGATAACAAGAAACCAAATGACAAAATAATTAAAACTTATTGGAAAACTTTCATGGACTCTAGCATCTTGCACAACCCATGGTGGTGGTTCAGGAGGAGGCCGTATCCTTGGTATCACTCTAATTGATCCTCCATTCTCAATCATCATATGGCCTGCTCGAAATCCGTGCAACTCTCCTCGTCCCGAACTCGTAGCAAATCCACCGTTAGCGGTCATCTTCATCGCTGACATGCCCTTTCTACCCTGCTCACAAATAAATCGATCGCCGAACTCTGGCTTCGATGTCGTCAATCTTGACCAATGATTCTTATCAATCTGCCTCAAATCCAATCCCAGCACCGGACATAGGTGAAGGGGATTCACCGGTCGAAAGAAGCAAACCTTAGATCTGCTAAGGAAAAACAAAACCCTAGACCTGCTAGGGAGAGACCGCGGCTCTCAACTTTACGATTGTGGATGAGGGAATTGAAAACCATCAATGTTATTGTAATAATTATTTAATTATGGTCCAACTAGTCCGAACCTAAATATTCCGAATCTGAACCTAGTTGGAATCAGAAACTTCAAAAACTTGGACCAAAGACCGGACTGGTATATGTAACTGGTCGGGATCCGGTCTAGACCAATTGATCGGGTTCAATCCGATTTTCCATTCTAAACCGGAATATGCCCACCCCTACTTGGAGTTGGAGGGTAGAGACCACTAAATTTTGAGTATAGTCGACATTTTGAGTTAATGCCTTGCACATTAATATTTTTTCTCCAAATAAATGCATCAGTTAGTTTCCAAATTATTGTCCACTTTAGCCCATTCAAAAATAAAGAAAATGGAAAGAGTCTTTTAATTATATATTGTTTTCTTAAACAACAATTATGTTGAGCCCGTTTGGAAGCACGGAAATTGGCTGATTTTGCTGATTTAAGAAAAAAATATTTTAAAATATATTTTATTATTAAATAAAGAAAAAAATATATTTAAAAATAGCTAAAATACTCATCTACAGTAACTTCAGCCAATACAGCCAGAAAAGTAATTTCAACCTTACTTTTTTTGATTTTTTTTACAAATCTACTTTTTTTGCTTATTACACAATTCAGCGCATGAAAACAAAAGTTACGTGTTTGGTGAAAAAGTTGGCTATAAGCTGAAAAACAGTGTTGCCAAACGGCCTCGTTATGTATTTGGAGAGAGGGCACAAAAATTAATAGGAAAACGAGAATTGGGGGTGAGGAGTAAGAGAAGAATTTGTGTGATCCAGGAAAACCAGAATTGGATGCTTCAACAGCCCTTATTTTAAAGACCTTATTTTGACAACAATTTTCTACTACTTCCTTTGTCCCGATAAGATTGTCTTATTTTACCTTTTCGAGAAATCTCATTAATATTGTCTCATATCGATTTGGTAAAAGAGTTTTGTTGGGATATTGGGTCCAGGCCCAATATCCCCGGCCCAAAGTATGGGGAAACCAGGAGGAAACAGAGGGCCCAAGGCAGTCCAGACCCGTTCGGCGTTCGGCACATTACCTACACTTGGAACATTTCGGGTAATAACTACACCCGCATTCTTGACAGGGTGCCGCACACCGAGCGGCGTTTGGGATATTGACTCTCAGGACAACAATGACGGGATATCCCAATATCGAACACCCTACCCGAACGGGTAGTCAGCAAGTGGAGGCCGCATTTAATGCTGAAGCATGACAGCAGCAAGTGGGGGCATGAGTTCCTACGTGGCAGGGGGTACAACCTACTGGATTCGGTCACGTGTCCAGCTTTCCCATCCCTATTTCAGTATAAATATCTGCATTAAGATCATTGTAAAGGGGTGAACATTTTAATACTCAGAGCTTAGCAAGTAGAAACACTTCTCTTATTCTTGTATTCTTGTATTTACCTACCGTTCGGGTAATTTCAGTGTAATCGCAGAATTACTGAATGCAAGTGGGCTCCTGAGTTGAACAATATCTCACTATTTTATATTTTATACACTTTCCAAACCAACCCAACATCCCCACAATATCCAAAGCTTGTGTTGGGCTTTCGGATCTTCGGGAATAAGCCTCAACAGGTTTTTTACAAGAATATTATTAAAATAAAACTTATTTACATACATATGACTATTCATTACTACAACGTAGTGTTGTAGTAATTTAAGTTCAAAATTTGAACATGAATTACTATGATTTCATCACTACTCTAGTAACTAGTCATATTTTTGAAAACCATCTTTATTTTGGTCATATTTATGTAATTATTTCTTGGTAAAATTTGTGTAGCTCTAAATCATTTTTACTTTATTCTTACTTTATCAATTCAATATCAATCACATAAATTCATTTTTCTTAATAACCGTGTCACCTCCTCTTGTCTCAATGTTAGTGGGACGGAGGTAGTAATATACATAATCAAAGTATTACGAATAGAATGTTATTGAATTTCCGAAATATCAACTTTTTATAAAGTTTACTAATACATAATTACATATAATTACAGTCTAAGTTGTGCGTTGACAAACGTGAAAGTCAAACTATTGCAAGAATTATAGAACGTAGTAAGCTATTTAGTTGCACATAGTATACTCCAATCATCCCCACTTGTTGATCAACCCAAAGACAAAAGATCTACATAGTACACAACATCTTGTCCTAAGATACATATCTACTCTTTTCAACAACTTCAACCCTCCTGTCCTCCAATCCCACCGTCCCTCTCTTGCACACATTTGAATGCCCAAATCGTACTCATGCATTCCTTTCAAACGCATGTCACATTCATCATGGTTACAATTTTTTATGTTCCCATTTCATAGTAAAAGATGATATAAATTATTGAGGGTATGATGGGAAGATAGTGAAATAATGTGATGGAATGAAGGATAAATCCAAAAAAAGTAGGTGTAATAATAAATTATTTTTAAAATTATTGAGGGTATGATGGGAAGATTTAGAAATGAGAAGATATGAATGTTACATCCAAAAAAGGAAAATGAGAAGATATGAATGTTACGGAGGGAGTACATTTTATCTTGGTATATATAGACAATATAGGGTCAGTGTTACATGTAAATATATACTCCGTACTCCGTAATCCGTATACCTCAAGCGAAGCCTAAGGCTACCCGCAACCCAGACCCGTCAATAAATCAAATTCCCCAACTCTTTATACGTATTCATTCAGTCAAATCATTTTTCCTGCAATCCAGCACCGTCAGTATATTCATCGAACAAAACTTTTTGTAATTAAAGTCTTGTTTTTATTATTATACTTCAATTATTTTTAAAAAATATTGGATAAATAATGATTTTAAAAAATCAAACATTTCGATATAAACATCAATAAATTTGGATTTTTTTTTATGTTATTTCATACTCATTTTTGGAAAGACTAAGTGAAAGATATAAAAAAAATATTTTGATCATGAAATGTTAATTTTAGCATTAGAATCTATTTAATGAAGCTTTTTGGTCTGAAACTTCAACTGTTCAAATGTCATATGAAAGATAATAAAACGTTAGGAATTTTGATATATTTTTTTAAAAAATTGGAATATAAATTAAAAAGTTATAGACATTTAAATAAAAATGAGATTTAAGTTTTGCGTGGGTCCCATCACTTTTTTAATATTTCCGCTGCTACTAGCTCTCTCTTACTTCCGTCAATAAGCTTGGTGATTCCCACTCAACGGGTGCCCTCAACCCACTTTAACACCCCAAAATACTTTGGGTTGGATCTGATTTTAGAGTGAAAAATTCAAATGTGGCATATTCACTTGAGGGTTGCAACCAGTCTATAGGAAAAAAAAAATTACTCTTAAAAAAGACAATATAGGGTCAAAATCACAGAGGCTGTAAGATTCATGAGACAGTACTATTCTATTAGGGATCAAATGAATCACCTCACTTGCCATTAAAATCAAAGGGATCAAGTACAATGACAATATTATTATATAATCCATGGCTGATAGAGTGATAGTTTTTGTTGAAAATGTTAAATATCGGGTTTCGTCATTTTAGTTCTTCAGAATGGGTTTTTGACATTTTCAGATATAAAATTGGCACGTCTCATTGATCTTTTCTTTGTGATTTTTATAAAGATTTTATACTTTTTGACAATCAGGGACTAAGTTATTGATATTTGCCAAAAAAGCTATAAGGGACCAAGTTTCTCCCAACATAATTTTATCGTACGTGGTGATAGATTTCGTTTTTGAAACAAGACTGCGAGGAATTTTTATAGTTTAAGTAGTAAGTTGAGATTCTTCTTGTTACGACATTTAGGTGCACGATATGCATTGTGCCCATTGTTCTGCGCCCATTCAAAAATACAAAGTCACGTTATTCTTTTTTGGCTAAAGGATCAAATAGGCTCTTAAACTAACTTGATAAGTAAACTAGACTTAATGAAGAAGATGATCAAAAAAATTTATCAAAAAATTCCACCGGGAATCGCCCGAAATGGCGATGGCCGGCCAGAACCTTCTATATAAGGGGTGATTTGCACTTTTTAAGTTAGTTCGAGGGCCTATTTGACTCTTTAGCCTTCTTTTTTTACTGTTATACGTATTGTGTATATATATAATCATTTTTCCCGCTTTATTAACTTAAAATCATTTTTTATCGTCAAAACAGATGACTTAAATTCATATCACAGCATTCAGATACGGGGTCAAACGACAAAAGGACCACAGGCAACCGCCAGCCATCGAACCAAACTTAAAGTCAATCACCCCAGAAAAGCAATATAACCCGCTGATCATATAACGGACATAAATGAGCCAACGATGTAAGGTTAAAGCAGACCTCTTATCATCCAATATTTATTTTTCATGATCTTTTATAGTTTTCTCACCGATACTTACCGTCTCGTTAGTTAAACATAAAATCATTAATAAAAATATTACGGTGAGTTTGAGTTTTTAAAGATGTTTTCACTTAAATTGCAATTTCGTAATCTAGTTTTATTAAGTCTTGTCTGATAAAGGTGTAGTATAAATGTATTTTACTATAGTTTAGATTTAATCTATTCAATTTTAATCTGCTCTAATATGATCAATGATTGAAACTAATTGGAGGGAATTCTTCTTAGAAAAAGAAAATGTATTCTAAAAGTTGGAAAATTCACCAATCTTAATTTGTGAGAAAAGTTTTAAATTTTGATAATATGCAAAATAATTCACCTTTTCACCCAATCATTCAAGGGGACCATGAAGGGTTGATGACATCATATTTCAAATAATAGTATTTTCTTTGTGTTTCCTATTGTCTCCGAAATGCATAAATAGTACTCTGTAGCAATTAGCATAGCATCAACCATTGATGGACCAATGGGGAAAGATGAGATAAAAGGTGGATTTTCTTAGTATCATTTAAATATTGGATTATTTTGTGAAGACTAATGAAAACTAAGGCATTGGAATCATTTTATCCTCCCAAAAAATAAAGAAATTGTTATACATAAAAAAAACGAATAAACGATATTTTCAAGACAATTTTCTTTTTGAACAATATATTCAAGACAATTGTTACATTAGATAACCAAGAGATTTTTAGGATGTGTTCATACAATATTCTTAACGAATTCAGCTTCTCTGCCTTGCTTTGTCAAGCAAAGAGGGTGTCTGCCCATTTTGAGCCATCAGATCAAAAAATCAATGACATAAGATGAGTGGGTCCATTTTTGGCACAAACCTCGAGACATGAAATATAATCCCTGCCCTCTATTTAGGTAAGGTACTCTGCCATAAAGCAGAAGATCTCAATCCATTCTTAACTCATTGAGCCGAAAAGTATCAATATAGACCCAAAAGTTGACTGAAAAAATAACAATGAGCTCATTTTTAAACGTTATTAATTTCAACATTTGAGTTGAACTTTTTAATTTATAGTGACTATATATTCAAATTACCCTTCTATCACTCAAAATTTAGCTTGTTTTTATCAAAATATATGCTCTTATGCCTCAATGTTATTATTTGAGATTTGTAATCAAACAAGTCTAATTAGAAAATTTTAACTCTATACCTTTGATATAGTTTTATGCAAGTCTTATAGTCCGTTATTCCGAATATACTCCTAATCATTTCCAAAGAAGAAACAAAAGTTTAGGACCATTTCCTCCCATCTTTTTCCATTGTGCAGTCCAGTCCAGGCGGGCCTAAATTGAAAAACAAGTCCGTATAAAAAAACGTAGCACAACCAACTAAAAGCAAGACAGGGAGTCCTCGTGACACTTTTAGCTAAAATGAAGGATGAGGGAGGATTAAAAGTTAAGTCATCATAATATTTCAAACAATTATTCAATACAAAAGCATGAACAAGTGATAAGTGGAAGTGATTCAAGTGAACCACCTCGCACACTTACGACGTGAATTTGGAAGGATTTTATGAAATGACGACGTTCTTCTAGTTGCTTTAACAATGTGAGAGCCATGTTAGGTACTAAAGACACAATCAATCAGGTCCGAGCAATTTCTGGTGAGCGGTGTTGTATATGTGTTAAAGTATTTGTCTCACACTGGAAAGCTATAAAACAATAAGATATTCCGTATTATATAAGGTTTTGTGTTACTTCTTCTATCATGTTGACCTTGTAGGATGAAACCCTAAGTCTTAATAGTACTAGTATATGACATTGGACACCTAGCGTTTAGGTGGGAGTCATGAAGTAATCAAACAAAGTCAGAATCACCTGATACTAAAAAAAGTAAAATAAACACACAAATTCACATATGTGCTTCTTTGGTGGTCAGGTTTTGGTTTAGCAACTTCTTTTTAGCTGTCCTTTTCCATTTTGAATTGTCCAGAAATAGGTGTTACATTTTATTTGGGGAAAAGAAATATGTTATCTACAACATTCAAATCTCAAACAACTGGTGGGCGTAGCTCAACTGGTAGTAAGGGAGTGCCACAAGGGTTAGGTCTCGGGTTCGAATCCCGGCAACTGCGATGAGGGGTTACTATGCTGAAAAATACATAGGGCTTCTGCAAGTACCGGGGACAGAGACTCACTCTCTATCTGTCAGATTGTGATTATAATCCAATTTACATCCTCCCATCGTGCCGTCCGGTCGGTGTTGGGGGGCCCTCAGGGATGGGGTGTCATCCTTTTCTTTTCTTTTTTCAAATCTCAAACACAACTTTTACATTTTCAATCATTTTATTAGTAATTATGTCAAACTAAGAAAGAACACAAAAAATGGGACGGAGGTTGTACATTATAGTTTTTTTCAAACATTTTTTCTCTATTTCATTTATAAAATATTTTAAATATGATTATTTTACAATTTAACATATTTAGTCATTTGAAACACGTACAACTTCACTACATTCAGAAGATTGCGCCAATTTTATTGTTTCAATTCGGGCTCATATTTGAACTATTTCATTCTAAGCTATATTTTAATACCTAAGTCGATAAAACCAACCTGAATGACTTCGAAACTAGTTGATTGGGAATCACGACCAACCCGGTTAAACTTATCTAAGCTCGTAACATAAACACTTGTTTTGGCAGTTGGTGGGAGCGGCTCACAATGAGCATCCTCCTCCCAGTGCAGGCTTTTCTTTTTAAATTTTAACATGTTGATTTAACTCCTATAGTCGTATATAAAGGAATATAACTTGAGTCAAGTTGAATGTAAGTTATCTAAAAATAAAGTATAAGAAGTAAAACATTGATTTCAATGTAAATAATTAAAAAAGGTGTCTAATTGTCCAATTTTTTACATAAATAGTGTATATGTTTTGTTTTTAATATCAAGGCTATATATATGTTTTTTCTATAATTTGTTTTTGAATAGCAGGGACTTGTTTTGTTGTGTAACTCGCATTACATTGTGGTGTAACTCACATTATAGGAAATGTAAATGACATGTATGTGAGATGTAACTTGTTGAGAAAATTTGACATGTAACTCACGCTTATAGATATGTAACTTTAGGCAAATTCTGATGTAACTTGAGTGTGCACAAGATGTAAATTGAGGAAGGTCTAAAATAATTCACAACAGTCATCTTCAACATATAACGAAGGTGAGTCTTCTTCATTAGAATATATACTTTTATATTCAAAAAATTAGTACTATTATACATAGATATTAAAACAAACAATTGGCTTTAAGTCTTTAAATTTGCCCACACATGCGCAGTCCAGATCCAAATTACGGCATGGTCTGCAATATTCGGAAACAAGGCTTAGCCGCATATCGCTGACGTTTTACTTCAGTCCGGAAGGGATGGCGTGAAGATACTCACAGCGGCCACACCAGCTATCGACCTAATCGCTACATCTGTGCAACCAATTTAAGGGAAGGCAATTGCACCAAACGCGGTGAGGTGACGGCGGAAGGAGTGCAGAGGAGTTCCATGGGGAGATGAAACGCGAAGGAGATGAAACGGCGGAAAAAGCGCAATTATCTTCAAGATTCATTTGAATGCCTTCCCGATTGAAGTTTTAGCTGAAATTTGGTATGAGTAAACTAGACTTAATGAATAAGATGCTCAAAAAATTTCATCAAAAAATTCCACCGGGAACCGTCTCAAATGGCGACGGCCTGACTATAGTTTTTGTTATTTCCGGTTTTATTATTTAATTTCCTGTTGTTCCAAAAAAAATGGTCATTACAGCATAAACAGGTCCATAAAACAGTGCACTACTAATAAATCGAGAACACATATACAAGCATATATTATTATTATGTTCCAATTATAGAAGTAGATGTTTTCCTTTTTATATTAAATCTATATGCTACTAACATTTACAGCCTCATTTATGCCAGTAGGACTTGTTTGGTGCTGTCTGAATTGCTGAGCTGTGATGGATCTATGTTACAAGGAAGTGTCTCATTCTAAGAATAAAAAACAGCAATCCCCCATCTTTTCTTTCCAGTTCATATGACCAAAAAGTTGGCCAAAAGGAACATACAGCCATTACAAAGAAAAGACCGTGAAATGATTTGAGCAACAGCCAACCAATTTTTCTTTTTGTTTTATTTTATTATTATTCTTCTAATTATTTAAAACAAAATATAATCACCCCTCAATAATATAATTGTGTTCGTGAAGTAAAATCCAAATTTCCCCCATACCTAGCTTGACCACATTTGGGATCAATCTTTTTACCAAGAATCAGTTTAAGAAACTGAAGAAGACTATGGGCGCAAAAGATCTTTTTTTTCTTGTTTAAAAAACATGAAATGTATTCACATTTAATGATTTAAACCCATTAATTTACTTTGTAGCTTGGGTCAAAGACAAAAGACCTTTCTTGCTGAGCTGTTGTTTGGGGAGAAAATCCTGAATGTATTATAATTTGTCATTTTTTTCACCTGATTGATACTCTTTCGATTGCATGGAGTTGTGTGTACCAAATTTTCACTTCACATCTTTTTGTGTTTCATGCTCCACATCCACCTATCTTCTCCCACTAGGAATCTTAAAGTACTAGCAGCAGGAACATCTTAAATACAGACCAGCTAGTACAAAAGAAGGAAAAATTAAAGTTAAAAAAAACACCAGAGAAATGACATCAGCATAAGAGTTTGATTTCTTCTTCTTTGTTTGGAAAGTAAGAAAGATTCTTCTTCTTCTTCTTCCATAAAAGAAGAGAGTGAGAGAGAGATTTTATTTCAAGAACTGGGATTCCCAGAGTTACCTTGTTGATCTTGATGACAGAATTCCTTGAGTGAAAACTATTGTTGTAGAAAGACAAAATGAGACCACAAAGTAAATTTTTTAAGGAGGTTTTTGGGATCTTTAAAGTTGTAGAGCTTGAAAACATGCCACCACACAGTATACAACACACCATGCCACTTGGCCTTTGGCTTTTTTGAATAATTGCAGCTCATCAAGTACTTTCACTTCTTGAGGGCTACCTAGAGCTAAATATTCCCAAATCCAAACATTCAAAACTTTCTGATACATATATATCAATAGGTTCCCCATTCTTTTAGATTATCTAATTCATCAATGCTCAACCCATCCATTAGAAGGTCAAGAAACATAAGATTTCTCTGATGGCAATTCCAATTGCAGCAGTAGCTGGAGGTATTGGAGGGGCATTACTACTACTGGGAGTAATAATAATTTATTATTTCCTTATGCATCACTATAAGAACTCTTCAAACAGGAACTCAGACAGTGCTTCATCAGATCCCCCTGCTGTTGGTATGTTTTCTTCCCCTCAAACTATGACTTCTGATACTCTTTCTGTCCCTTAAAAAAGTTCTCAACTTGGCATTCCAAGAACTCAAAGTGATAAGCTTTCTTCATACCATCTAACACTTAGAGATGTACCAAAATTGAATCAAAGAACTTTAAACAGGGACTGAAGAAATATTAGAGAAAAAAATCCCATTTTTACTGTGAGTTTTGCTAATGTTTCCTGCCTAAATCTCAAAGTATTGTGCAGTGGAGCCAAGAAGGGAAGGAGGGGCGAGCAGTTCAGAAGCAAAGGCAAGGGTGTTTAGGCTGAGAGAACTGGAGCATGCCACCAAGCATTTTGATGACTCTCATCTCATTGGCTATGGAAGCTTTGGTATGGTTTTCAAAGGCCTGCTTTATGATGGAACCATCGTGGCTATCAAAAGGCGCTTGGCCGCTCCCCGGCAACAATTCACTGAAGAGGTGCACAATTAATTACCAATACGCTTTTCCATTTTATAATCTCATACCCACTTTTGATGTTTTCATATATGGAGTATAGAATAGTTTAGTCGTATCTACTGTTGATATGTTCCATTTTATCACTTAGAAAACCTTTTATTTTGAATAACTCGTACATTAAATAGCTTCAAGTGTATATTTGACGGTTGTTTTTCCATTGTTTTTAACGAAAGTGGTTATTATACCTTTGAAATATCTCGAGTGAAATGCTCAAACGGTACTCAATTATTGGTGTTCTTCCTTTTGGTACTTTGACTTTTAATGAACTAACTCATTACCATAATAATATATAAATAGTAAATTAATAGTATCAATTTTCTGGCAAAAAATATCACACATGACGGCCGGAATTTTATACGTAAAGTTCACTTTACGTCATTTTGTCTGTGTCATTACTGTAGGATACTCTATGGATGGAATTTTAGTTGCCACATGGGTCTTTTGGTCAAAAATTTGATTAGTATTACGAGTTGAAACATTTATGTTGATTTATGATACTGATTTATTTCATTTAAGAGTTAAAGTACCAAAATATAAGAATACTAATAATTAAGGTATCGTTTATGCATTTTCCGTTATACTTAAAGTTGGAGTGAAAATTTAAGCTCTACTTTAATGATTAGGATTTCGGGTCTCTACCTAGCGCCAAAACCAGGTAGGACACTCGATACCCGCACAGGTAGCTTAGTTGATTGAGTGTTGGGAAAATTGGAGAGATGACCAAGATTCGAAACTCGCAGAGACCGTGTGGAGGTTACAGCTCCTGCGTGATGGACTGATGGGTTGAACCTTTGGTGCACACAAATTTAAGATCTATCATCATTGGGCTGACTAAGTCACCATGATTACATCCTTCATATAATCATATGCCTTGTCGGGTCGGGGCGTGGGGGCCCTTGGGATTGGTGATTCAACCTTTTGGAGGGCAGTGCCTTCTTAATAACTATGGATATTTTTGCTTGGATTGGTTTCTGTCTCAAATCGAATCAAATCAGATTAGACTTTAGCATATCAGACCGGACTTAAACAAATCAGACTATGGCAGTCTTGACCGTTGTAAAGTAGGCATTGACTAGACATCTACAAACTAGTTCAGAGTTCACACCAAACTATAAAATTTCAAAGTACTACCTCCGTCCCACTAAGATTGGGACGGAAGAAGGTGGCACAATTATTAAGAAAAGTGGGTTTGTGTGGTTGATATTAAATTGATAAAGTAAGAATAAAGTAAGAATGATTTAGAGCCACACAATCTTTACCAAATTTGGTATGGGACAATCTTAGTGGGACTTCCCGAAAAGGTAAAATGGGACAATCTTAGCGGGACGGAGGGAGTATATATATATACCCGTTCTAAGCATTGAACTACTACCATTTTCATATTAGATGGAACTTTGAAGATTTATCCCGAACGAAGCATCAGTGCATCACACATTATTCACATGCATAATACTTGGGCATTGCACATAAAAGTTTTCAAACAGGAACTCAAACAGAAACATAGGTTGAATACTATGGTTTGTCAAAGTTTAGGAGATGAAGTAAGTATGCATGTGACTTTTGTGGCAGCAGGTGGTTCACATGTCAATGGTGCACCATAGGAACTTGGTGAGGCTTCTTGGATACTGTCAAGAGAGTGGCTACCAAATGCTAGTCTTTGAGTACTTGCCCAATGGCAGCATGCGCAAACACTTGTATGGTAATATTTAATTTGAACTATGCAGTGTTTGGGTGTAATTATTATTTACTCCGAAATATTTGGCATTTTGGTAATTTAATTTAATTTAATTTAATTATTCTTGGAAGAGACGGGAATGGATTCACAGTCGACGAAGCTAGAATTCAAGCAAAGGCTTTCGATTGCTAGTGGAGCGTCAAAAGGTATTACTTCTTACCACTCATTCAATTTAGTTTAATTTAAATTGAACGTAAAATAATTACTTTCCATGCGAAGTGAAGGGACGCAAAGGTTTACACCGTTTGGTTGATTATTTAATGTAAACTGTAAGACATTTTTTAAAAACATTTTACATTGTACTATATAAAATATTTTGCGTGGGGTGGTGGTAAAATACTTTGCATGCTTTTTATAAAGAACTGCAATATCTTTATGTGAAAATTAAAAAATAAATTACACATCTAGGCAAACAATGTAATCTTTTTTTCCATGCAAAGTGATTATTTTCCTAAATGTTACACACAATTATTTCGCGTGCAAAGATTTAACGCATAAATTACCAAACAAGCCCTAAATGATACATAGTAGCCGATGTAAAGGTTAGAATTTAATGCGCCAAACCCTCTTTTCTTTAGCCCGTTGTGATTTTAAAAATTTATCATAATCTATATGTTATAATTATACATGTTACATAAAATTTTGAAGCAACAATATTATGTTATAAGGGAAAATTGTCAATTTTGGTCCTCACACTTTCATAAAAAGTCAATTAGGTCATCGTATCTTTTAAAACGATCAATCAAGTCCCCAAACCTTGTAAAAACCTTCAATTGAGTTCATTTACAGGTTACTTGTCATGTCAGCAGATCACCCGCTGACGTGGTACACATGTGGCAGGCCAATCAACAATAATTTTGTTGACATGGCACAAATGCGGAAGCCCAGTCAGTCATTTGTTGATGATGTGGTGCACACGCGGACCACTATGTGTGCGCCACGTCAGCGGGTGACCTGCTGACATGGCATGTAACTTGCAAATGTACTCAATTGAACGTTTTTACAAAGTTCGGGGATTTGATTGATTATTTTAAAAGTACAAGGACCTAATTGACTTTTTCATGAAACTACGAGGAGCAAATTGATAGTTTTCCCTTGTTATAATGATTGAGCATTCAAGTAACTTCTCAAAATCTTAAATTATTCGGACTACAAAAATATTATTCACTTTTGTTTTATTCGATAATTATTTTTGAGGTGTAGTACACATGATTAATTATAACACACAAATAATTTGATACATTTTTTAAGTCACAAGAGGTTGATGCACAAAACTTACTCACGCCAAAAGTTAAATATAAGAATGTTTTTATTTCAATTTATTTTTGTTCAAACCCAACTACATTTATTTTAAACTGGCCAAATTTAAACAAATTTAATCGTACTTATAGACCTGACAAAAACAAGTCAATTCAAATGTAAATATCCTTATTCTTTTTTTACTGAAATATCCTTATTCTCGATAAACATTTAAGTTGATACAGAGTATAATAGTAAAACTTATGTAATTAATAGTTCTAGACTCCGTTTGGTAACACTGAAATCAGCTGAATCAGCTGATTCTGCTTAAATTTATGAAGTTTTAACTGAAATGGCTATATTGGCTGATTCTGCTTATTTATGAAATTTTTTTTAGGGAAAACTGTCAAATAGGTCCTCGAACTTTCATAAAAAGGTCAAATAAGTCCTTATATAGGAGGCTCTGTCTAATCGTCGAGATTTGGGGTGATTTCCGGTGGAATTTTTTGAATGAAATTTTTTGAGCATCTTATTCATCAAGTCTAGTTTACTCATACCAAATTTCAGCTAAAACCTCAATCGGAAAAGCATTCAAATTAATTCTTGAAGATAACTGCACATTTAACTGCACAATTATCTTCAAGAATTAATTTTAATGCCCGAAGGAAGTTTTAGTTGAAATGTGGTATGAGTAAACTAGAATTGATGAATAAGATGTTCAAAAATTTTAATCAAAAAATTACACCGGGAACCGCCCCAAATCGAGGCCGCCGGACAGAATTTCCTATATAAAGACTTATTTGACCTTTTTATGAAAGTTCGAGGACCTATTTGACAGTTTTATCAAAAAAAAAAAAAAATTAAAATATATTTGGTAACTAAAATAAAGAAAAAGCTGTATGAAAAAATCTAAAATTGTCATCTACAGTAATTTCAGCCAATACAGTCAGAAAAGTAACTTTAACCTTACTTTTTTTTTATTACGCAATTCAGCGCGTGAAATAAAAAATTATGAGCCCGTTTGGTGACCCCTTTTTTCGGCTTATCAGGTTTATCAGCCAACTTTTTCACCAAACACGTAAATTTTAATTTCGCGTGTTGAATTGTGTAATCAGCAGAAAAAGTAAGGTTGACGTTACTATTCTGACTGTATTGACTGAAGTTACTGTAGAGAATCATTTTAGCTATTTTTTATATATATTTTTATTTTATTTAATAATAGCAAATATTTTTAAATATAATTTTTTTAATGAATCAGCAGAATGAGCCACTTCAGCCAGAACTTCATAAATTTCAGTAGAATCAACCAATTTAGTCAATTTTAATATTATCAAAGGGAGTGTACTTGTCTGATTTAAAAGTTGGCTCATAAATCTCAAAAGCCAAAACAATTAAAAGGGCTCTTAATTTATTGCACGTGCCATTAATGTGGGCAATAACAAAACCGGATATTTAGAATCATCGGTTCACACTTCACACTCGAATGGTCCCAAAGCCCCGTGTGAGGACTGTTGTCACAGCGTGCATCAGTCACTTGCCTGCCAGTTTACATTACATTATTTATCACGCCCAAGAGTTCCATATTGGCCGGTCACTCGTCTAATCAATAAGAAAAAATCCATGGGTGCTATTTTTTAAAAAAAAAAATATGAAGAAAAATGTAACTTAGACACTTAGTTATGATTTAAAAAAATTATTATTTAAAGATTTTAAATTTTTTTAATTTTGATTATTCATCTCTAAATTTTGTTTATTTTTTCTTTAAAATTTCACCATTTATGTTCCTTCGTTAATCACTTGATCCACCCGATTAACCTGATCACGATGGACGTGTTAGATGTGGATGTGAATGTGAATGTAGATGTGGATGTAATCTTTAACCGATGATAGACATATATTTAAAATATGAATAATTGATGGATGAACACGGATAAGTTTCCATCCAGTATAAAACCGTGTCGTTATCACCCCTAATCGGAGTGGGAATGGATAGAGAGAGGAAACAGAGGAAAAATGTGAGAGTGAAAGAGTATTTGCCTGTGTTACTACAATTGGACCGAATTAGCTAGGCGATTCTTCCTGAAAGCCGATGAATTGAACCCAAATCGAACCTGGTAGCATACAAACCCGCTAATGTGCCAATGATTGGAAATACCCGATGACCCACGTAGACCCGAACCGGAACGTCTTAAACTCGTCGCATTTAATAAACTCGGTCAAAACGAATAACGGTGCTGCGGGGAAACTGTCATTGGCCCTCATAATGAAAAGGCTACCGGCTAGTCGGCTACCGGCCAAATAAACCTACCGCATTGGCTAGTTGGAATCTATGATGCGCCGATACTTCCCTATGATGTCATATCCGCGTATCCATACAGATCCGGTACTGATTCTCACCGATATATACACATCATGTACGCATTGAGTTTGTATCCATAATTTAATAAAAGAACTATATTTAATTATGAAATTACAAATACTTCCATTAAACGTATCCGTAATTTAATAAAATAACTAGACTTAATTATGAAATTATAGATACTTCCGTTAGACGTATTCGTAGACAAATACGTGTATCTAAGAATGATTTAAGTCGAGTACCCTGTCCGGTAACTAACCGACCACAACTTATCTTTCCTCATTCTTCATCTGCATCTCTTACTTCTACAACTCCTAGTCATTATCCTTTCTCTAATTGCATCTCTTACCAGGTAAAGTACTACTCCGTAATTAATAATTACTAAAACATCATCTTCTTCACACACACAATTGTTAAGTCTCAATTAATTCACTTCACTTGTAAATTAATTGCGTTTGTAATGTTTTTGTTTTTATAATTCTTTTGTCTCATATATTTTCTTCGAGTGTGGTCATTTTTAACCGATTTAATTTCTTTAAGTTGTGAGAGTATTCTTTAACAAAGCACTTACGTTACTCTCATATTGTAAAAAAATAGTCTCAAACAGGAGAAAATCAAGTGGAATTTTAAATTAAGAGCACTGTATTTTTATTTCCTAATTGAAAAGTAATTATTATCATGTTTGGAGAATACTCCGTATAACTATCTCCGTCTCATTTTATGTGTCTTATTTTGGTTTAACACAATTATTGACAATGGTTGAAAAAGTAAAATTATAGTTGAGATTTGAGTGTAATAAGATGAGATGTCTTAGATCACATGTTTGTTTTGAAAACAAAAAATAATAATACTTATTTTGATACAACCTAAAATTAAAATATTAAAACAGATAAAATGAGACGGAAGGTGTATCAAATATGACGCTAATAAATTGTCATATTAAAGTTTGATAATGCGAAAATATTACACTAAGATTTAAGGATGACTGCAAATTACTCTTATTAAGATTTGAGATTTAACATGGTTTTCTATTTTTTCGGGAATTTTTCCCTATATATAAATTATTTTGAATAAAAATATATTAATCCGTATTATCAAAGTTTAACACGTTGCACCCAAAAAATACGTACTCGTATTAATTAAGTTGAATATAATAGAATAAACTATGTATATTTATCCTAATTGGACTACAACATACTCCGTAGCATTTTTTCAAAAATAGGGTCTACTAGTTTAAAATGCAACAAATAGGACGTTATACTTGTCATAGACAAAAATACCCTCATAGGGTTGATCGACTCCTGCCCCTAGGTCACTGGACTGATCCGTCGCCAACAAAATTGCCTTGGTTTTGCAAGGAAACTAGTGAGCTAATTAATTAGGTTAACTAATTAATTAATTTAATCAGAGGTAGAAATAGTTACTTCTGATTAGGGGAAACCAAACATATAATCCTATTTTTGGAAAAACGTTATCCTTTAGTCGTAGTTTGAGCAATGTCCTCAATAAACTAAGGATGTTTTTACTTGGACTATTTTCAGTCCTAAACCAGACCAGACCAGACTTAAATAGATCAAACTTGAACAAACCGGACCAGATCGGACTTGACTTCCATAGTTACAAAATATACAAATAACAGACATTTACCAGATCAGATCAGACCATACCAGACTTAAACTGACTAGACCAGACCAGAATAGCAATGAACTAACATATAACATTAAATATCTTCAACTCTTATCCTCTTAAGATTGACTTTTTAAAATGAAACACATAACAAATCTTAAAATGCATTCGAATCTGGTCTGTTTTTATTAGTTACTTAGTTTGTTTGTCATCCATTGTTTGAATGGGATAGTGCATTTGGAGTACATTTGTTTGACAGGTGGTTTTCAATATTTTATCTCACATCCCTTATATATATATTATAAAGCTTACATCATACTATGTATGTATGTCGAGTCCTCCTCCTATTATTTATTGGGATACATCTGGAAAAACAAAGTATAATGTTTCACTAACATTACTATATTATGATCATAGGTTTGTGTCATTTGCACAGCCAACAGCCCCCAATCTTGCATGGCAACTTCAAGACAGCTAATGTGTTGGTTGATGAGAACTTCATTGCCAAAGTTTCAGGCGGAGGGGTGTCAAGGCTACTCGAGACGATAGACGATGCAGGGCCTTCCCATTCGGTAAATCGGGCAAGCGTATTCAGAGATCCAGGGTAAACAATATCATCAGATCTGCTCCACATTATATGTTATTATACCTCTAGAAATGTAGCTAATTACCTGTGTATGTTTTGTACATATGTTTTGTTCACTGACAGTGTGGATCAAAACACTTTGTTGTGTGAGGCAAGCGACGTTTATAGCTTCGGGGTGTTCCTTTGGGAATTAATAACTGGAAGAGAGGCTTCACATATAGGTGGCTTGGGATCAAATGAACGTTTGCTTCAGTGGGTACGTAACACAATTTGATTTTTTTCATTGATAACTACTTCAATTTTTTACTAATACATATAATTTCATTAAAGACTTTAAATAGGGATGTGTATGGTCTATCCAATGGTATAAACTGTTATTTAACAAAATAAATAAATATGAAGGATGGGGTCAGTACATGGAATAAAAAATGCATTTGATACAATTTTCACAAATCCTATTATAGCTCAGGGCCTCACTTAAAGAATCTTCTCATTATCTCCAAAATAAAACTTGTATCCATGTAAAGTCAGAGTGTGTGAGTTGTAAATTAATTTAAAACGGTTGAACAAGATCACATAAGCTCTCATCTTTTTTGTTTCAAATCAAAGGTAGAAACACATTTGAACGAGGATGATTTGGTGGATCGACGGTTGTCAAGGAGTTTCACCATGGAGGGAATGGGGGATTTCATCAAACTAGCCATGAGATGCACAAGTTTTCCAAGTAAACAAAGACCTGCAATGGAAGTGGTGGTTGTGGAACTAGACAAAATTCTTGACAAGGAGATCATGCATACAACATTCATGGGAGAGGGCACTACCACTGTTACTCTAGGCAGTCAACTATTTACAAATTAATTAACAGCATAGTAGTATTTATATGTAAATGATTTCAAGACTTACCACAAAAAGTATCTTACATAGGAGCTAAATTGATCTCAATTAATGTCAGCACTCCAATTTGTATGTATTAGTTTTCATTTATTAAAGAAATGTATATCTTCATCACGCTGGCTCAATATCGACCTAAGAACCCACACATGTTTTCAAGTGTTCTTGATGGAACTGATTAACACATGAAAAATGTCTATACATTTATAACCATAAAGCTTTGAGGTCTAACAAAACATGTTCCCATTGTTATCATATTAACAATCTACATTTATATCATGTTGTATTTTGTTGCAATGCAAGCATTTTGTATCTCGTTGGAAAGATCTTATCGTATTCTAAAATTCGTATTCAAGCTTTGTTTTCAAAGTATTTACGCTAAATATGCTCTATTTACTCTGAAAACGCTATATTGCAGAAAATGGCTATGTAATTGATTTGATCATATGTTGTTGTATGTTCTTCCATTTCAAGCGTTTTATATCTCGTTGGAAATATTTTTTTGAGATCTAAATCTAGTGTTACGACTTCATTTACAATATGTTAAAGAATAGGTACAAATTAAACTGAAATTCATAAACATTTCTAATTTCACTCCGAACTCGTGTACGGGGTTTGATCATATTTTGTTGCATTTTGTTCCATTTCAAGTGTTTTTTTATCTTGTTGGAAAGATCTCGTTTACAAACTTTGTATACAAAATAATCAAGAATAGGTGCGTATTACTCAGAAATTTAAAATCTCTGCAGCGTTGTATTTTGACTTGATCATATCTTGTTGTATTTTGTTATGATGCAAGTATTTTTTATCTCATTGTGAAAATCTTATCGAGTTCTAAAACTTGTATTAAGGCTTTGTTTTCAAAATATTACAGGATGGTTACAAAACGAACCGAATTTTGGATCCAAGGGTGTATTTATACTAAATATGCTATATCTACTCTGAAAATATTACTCCATATAATATAGAAAACATTATAAGTATTTTATTCGATCATATCTTGTTGTAAGTTCTTCCATTTCAAACGTTTTATATCTCGGTGAAAAGATTGTTTTGAGTTCTAAAAATAGTATTCCGACTTCATTTACAATGTATTAAACAATATGTACAGATTAACCTGAAATTCATAATCATAATCATGATGATGATGAATTAAATCACATTTTATAACTCATATTTTTATTTTATCAACCTTAGCAGCCAATTCTTTTACCAAACATGTATTTGAATTCACGTGTTGAAATGTGCAATAATCAATATAAGTAAGGTTAGAGAAACTTTTCTGACTGAATTTATTGAAGTTGTTGAAATCTTATACATACGTACTTCATATAGAATCTGATACGAAGTAGTAAAAAGAAACAATATATCCCATTTTTTATTGTACTTTTTGTGCATTTAAATGTTAAATATATTGGGGAAAGTAAATGTTAGGCTCAATCTTGTATAATATATTTTGGATAATTATTTAATTTCTTCATATATTACTCTAAAATAGTAATTATCAATAAAAATCTAGAACACATTTTCACGTTTTTGTTTCGCCTATTCCCGCCTAGGTTTCAAAGGCTTGATTCTTGGTCGCAAAGCCTTGTCATGCCTCATGCCTTTTAAAACGGGATAAAGGTCAGTTTGGTCCTCGAAGTTGCAAAAAAGGGGTCAAATAAGTCCTTATATAGAAAATTCTGTCCGGACGTGCCATTTGAGGTGGCTCCCGGTGGAATTTTTTTGATGAAATTTTTTGAGCATCTTATTCATTAAGTCTAGTTTACTCATACCAAATTTCAAATAAAAATTCAATCGGGAAGACATTCAAATGAATTCTTGAAGATAACCGTGTCGTTAAAAGCGCAGTTATCTTCAAGAATTCATTTGAATGTCTCCCTGATTGAATTGTTAGCTGAAATTTGGTATGAATAAACTAGACTTAATGAATAAGATGCTAAAAAAAATTCATCAAAAAATTCTATCGGGAGCCACCTCAAATGGCACGTCCGGACAGAATCTTCTATATAAAGACTTATTTGACCCCTTTTTTGCAACTTCGAGGACCAAACTGACCTTTTACTCCTTTTAAAACACTAGCTATAATAGAATTTGATACAACATTTAAGAGAAAATAGTAGGGTAATGAATAGTGTAGGAAAAAAGTATGAGGGAATATGAGAAAGTATGTAACTATGTAAGACAATATGAAAAGTAAAAAAATTAATGGTAACTGAATAGTTTTAAAGTGGAAATTTATTGAAAAGAGAAAGTGTAACAAATTGAAAACTTTCCAAAAGAAAAGTGTAGCAAACAAAAGATCCTGAATGGAGTATTAGAATATCGTTTAATAACCAAAGCTACTAATTAAGACATATACCACCAGTTATAAATAAATAACAAACAACAGAAACTATGAAAATCAGTATCCTTATTTCCAAATACATATGGTTTTTCGTTTTAGAAAAGAAACACTGAGTCGCAACTTTCATGAATGCATGAGCAGGGTTGAATGGCATATTATTAAACGCGATTTCCTTTGTATAGAATTAGTTATTACGAGTATAATAAAAGAATTAAACATTCAACTTTATATGACGATAGGTACGCAATGTTTCTGATTTGTCACATATTTTATGGAGAAATAGCCATGACTATTGATTACCTGTGAGTTGGATTTTGAAGGGGAGGGGAAGGTTGATGGGGGCTTATGACCCTCCATCTCATGTTTGGGAGTTTATAATTTGAGGGGATAGTTTTGGAAGGCTTTTGTAACCCACGAAAACCTTCTAAATACTCAATTTTTTAGTTTTCCCCAATTTGGAGGGTTTTGAAGGATAATTAACGAAATCGTATTTTAAGCTCAATTAAAAAATAAATATCAATTCAAATTATTTGAATTCGTCATATCTCAAAGTGATTTTTATTAATTCATTCAAAAACTTCCTCCTTCCAAATTTATTACTCCCAAATATAAAGAAGGTCTTCCTCACCCTCCCCTCCATTTCCCTCCAACAACATACCACAAAGCCTTCTCCCTCATTTCCCTCCAAACTCCCAAACATACTCTAAGTAAATTTTTCTTCGAGACGTTTGACTATGAAATGGCAGTCAAAATGTAATATTCCCTCCGTATTAAAATAAGTGTCTTAGTGAGCTTTTCACGTAGTTTAGAATAATTTATAAGTTTAGTGTACACTTTTTGAAAAAGAAGATTTTTGGTACTGTAGCAATGTTGTTTACTTTATTAAGTGTACCGTAATTGTTTTTGAGGTAGATTTATTTTCTAAAATGAAAGTGAGACACTTATTTTAGTATGACAAAAAAAAGTGAGACACTTGTTACAATACGGAGGAAGTAATACCCCCAAGAGTATATAATAATACATCTCACAAATTAAGTATACGGAGAAGCGTTATTTTCTCTTTAGAGCATTAAAAATTTTACGGCTCACTTTTTACTTGAGACTTGGAACTTCGGAGCATCACATTTTTAACCTCTCTCACCCTTTCCAGTTAGGCTTGGACTCGGGTCAAGCCTATGCCTGGCAGGCGTTTGAAGGTTGGGGTAAAGACCCGGGACCGGCCCAGATTACCACCGGTTCCAGGCCGGGTCCGGTTCTTTTTTTTTATTTTATTTTCATCCCCTACCCCCCAATCTCCACCATCCCCCAAACCCATCGGAAACACCCAGCCCAGTCCATCTAAACCAAGCCAAAACAAAAAAAAAAAAGGCCCATCTGGGTCCGGAACCAGCCGGGCTGGTTTACCTTTCCCTAAGCTTGTACCCGCGTCTGGATACTCCAAAAACTGAGTCATGACCCGGAACCAGTACCCGGTTTCCCGGGCCGGGCCCAAACAGTGCCGGGCCGGTCCGGTTCCCGGGCCGGGTGGCCGGTGGCCCGAACCGGGTCCAAGGCTATTTCCAGTCCTAAACATGTTTTGATTTTTAAGAAAAGGATTAGTCCCGGTTTCCGAAGTAAACAACACTAACACTATTGCAAGTCGCTGAACCATGTACCATCCAAACAAATGAACAAAAAAAAGCATAACTTTTTATACAAAGTTACAATATAAAATGTGTATATGATTGTAACATATCAAGTCTGAACAATTCATATATCCACAAGTATCATGAACACAACATAATTTGCAAGCATAAAAAGCTTGTCTTGCAATGACAATCATCTGTTTTCCACTCTGCAGAAAGATTTGGAAAGCCAATTTGAAATTCATATTTAATTGGTCAAGTTGGATGATCCTTCCCAATTCCTCATGAATAAGATGAAATGAGTAGAGACTGTCAACATTAGAGAGGAACTAGCACAGTACTTTCCAGGTTTAAGCAATTACAACAAAAATCAACAAACACCAGCTCCAGATATCGGATATTAGAGCAGATTCTACTACATGGACTATATTGGGAGTTTTCCCCCAGATAATTTTTATGGATAGACGGATTTGGCTTATTGAAAGTGGGATTTGGTTGGGGTAATAATAATGGTGTTATGAACACGGATGAAAATAGGTACGGTATACAGTTGTGCTAGTAGGCTTCCTAAGGCTGAGTGGTGTGAGATTCAAGATGACCAACACAAGGAACGTCCTAGGAAATGACTAGCACCAAAAATAATTATCCTCATTGATCATCAGCCAAAACAAAACAAAAAATAAAACTGATTACTCAACTTTTGCCTCCTCACCTCCATGCCCCATACTACTACTGTTCCCAGTTGCAGATGAAGTAGGCTGTTGAATGTCAGTCACTGAGAATGTTGAGCCGATCGGGCCACTAGAAGTGCTTATTGATGATATCTGGGAAGAAACAGCATCCTTGTTGGACCGAGAAACCAGGTTAGGCCTTAAGTCAGAGGATGTTGGGCCCAAATTACTGATGTAAGATCCAACGGGGAAGGGGGCAACAGGTATATCAGCAAGAGATGATGCAGATGGACTGTAAGTCATTGTTCCCATTGGATGGTCAAACCTACAAGTAGGCCCATATTTGCATACCCCATTTTGTGAATAGTGTAGGCACATTGGTGCATCCTACAAAGCAACCAAGAGTTGCAACAAAAATGGCATCAATAATCAGATGTAAGAGTATGATCTTAATGCCAAGCAGTTCAAAGTCCAAATATGTGTAGCTCAAGAAACTTGGATTTCGGAGGGCATATGTAATATGGTTCTAAACACAGTGTATAGCACAAAGTGCATTACTATAGGCATTTTGGGTTGGTTTGACAAAACCAAACCGAAC